TCGTGAGTGATGGCGCAAGGTTTGCACCGGAGAAGCCTGTCTGTGGCTTACTATTCCACTGTGCGTAGAAAAATTTGAATTTGATGATGATCGAATGGTGAGTTATCGCCACGAATAGTATGCACCGGCCTGGTGAAATCGGCGGATTTCATACAGTAACGTAACTGATGTTTTGAGTGATATTAACATACTTCCACCGGTGCGTAGCTCAAATTTTTCCAGAAGACGGGATAAGCGACCAAAGTAGATATTAATTCTATTCTGCAGCTTCAGGCTAAGTTAGCATTGTCTTATTTAGCCGGTTCTACACAAGAAGCTCGGTCAATTTTACAACCTACTAGTAAAAATGGCCATGTCTGGACTGACCAGTGCCGCAGGATAAATCCCTTGGTGCCAGTGGATCTTACGTAAAAAGGTCATAAAATCATTGTGCGTTAGACTTGTACCACTCAAATATCGAGACCTTGGCCAGTGAAGCAACCTTGGTTTGACAAGGCATATGGTCAGTTAAAATAAATTTCTCCAGGCTGTCTCTGCGAACGGTTACGAGGCGTAAAAGCGAGAGCGGAATTTATGCGAAGTGCGAAAACACAAAGCTTCGGGAGTTCGAAGTACGGTTTGCAGCAGCAGCAGCAGCAGCAGCAGCAGCAGCAGCAGCAGCAGCAGCAGCAGCAGCAGCAGCAGCAGCAGCAGCAGCAGCAGCAGCAGCAGCAGCAGCAGCAGCAGCAGCAGCAGCAGCAGCAGCAGCAGCAGCAGCAGCAGCAGCAGCAGCAGCAGCAGCAGCAGCGGCAGCAGCAGCAGCAGCACTATTAGTGTGTGATGAGGGACTGACCCAAACTCCGAGCACTGAGCGTTCGTCCGTATTGGAGGTGTACATCACTTCCTTAGTTGCAAATGGACGTGCCTCTGTGCCGAGTTCGACTTGTTCAGCTCCAACCGAAATTGACAGCTTGTTTCGCGATTTGGAAGATATACGCAGTCTACACGCTAGTCTTGACGGCGCCAAGCGTGCCGGTCCTGAAAGACTTCACCCGGTGCCATTCAAGTCCATATCGGCCATTATCTTATCTTCTGTAACTTACCTGTTTAACAGACCACATTCCGAGTGTACATTGTTGAGCGACTGGAAATGCTGGCTAGTGTTGTCAATACCGAGGGGCAATGACCACAGCAAGATTGACTCTTATCGTCCAACCTGTCTGATCCCAGTTTTGATCAAGGTACTCGAGAGGATGGCTAAGAAGAATCTTTCGCAGTTGTTGGAATAGAAAAACTCCTGCTTCTGGTACTGTACGGTCTCATGAAAGATGGCTCATACATCAGGAAATTGCTGATGACGCGGCACAAATGGCTGCAAATACAAAATCGGGGGAAGTCCGTCCCTCGAGTTGATCTACATTGGTGTCAGTAAAGCACTGGACAAGTTGAAACATGAGGTCACTCTAGCTAAACTAAGGCTATGTGATGTTGTTTGCTCACTACATCAGTGGATCAACTACTTGTTTATTTGGACAAATAGTATGGTACATCAAGTTGATCATCCAATTAACTATTATCCTTTCACTAGTGTCCTATACCAGGGCAAATTGCTCTGGCCGCATTTGTCCCTGATCCAGATAAACGAAGTATCTCAGCTTTTTCGGTCGCCTAGTGTCTTATTTGTAGATGACATGGACATTTGGTAAGCAATTGATGTTTTCGAAAACTGTGAAGTTATTCGACGTGACCTGGACCGTCGGTCCAGGTAGTCTATAAATGTCGATCTGTCGGTGAACCCAGTCAAGTCGTCATTTATTAGCCTAGGAACGGGTGGTTATCGGTGTGCGCATGCTCTGGACGGCCAACGGCTACATCCCACACCTTCCGTAAAGGGTCTGTGCCTACTCTGACGTTGCGAGTTGAAATCCGAGGGCAACAAGTCAAACCCCCATGGAAACGGTCGACGCAAGCTTTGGGCACTCCAACGCAGCTTCTACATTTGGTCTGAAGTCATTGACACTCACGATTTGCTATTCTTGCATAAACCCAAGTATTGGTAACCCATGATGTATTTGGCTATCAAGCTGATCCGCAGTTTAGGTGGTATGTCGTGCGACGGCTGATGTAGGATGTCGTGGTTGTACACCGTACCGTCAGTTTCTAGTGAACCTCAGAATGGCGCATGAGATTTTGCATCTGGGTCACTTACCCATGCTGAGGCCTTTGCTGCACGTGCGCACACAAAGCAGCACACGCGGCAACCGGTACAAGCTGATAGTGCCGAAGCTGAAACGCGTAGCTCACCCTATGTGCTTCGAGTAACCAGTGGTACAATGCTGGAAATGTTTGCGGTAGAAAATAGACGACGCGAAATAGGTTTCGGAATGCAAGCAATTTCTAAACGCTCACTTTGCAGATTACAGAATCCCAGAGCGCACCACATCTAAACAGGAGGTCGCCCAGCCAAACCGCTTTGAAGGTGCGCATCAAAAATGATGTAACTACGCGTGCACTCTAGATACCCTATTGATAGAGCTACACAGAGATGTCTTGCAGCGCGTTTTCTGCAGTATTTAGTTACCTTAAACAATAGCCTTTATGGGTTATCATGTCAAATGCTTTGATGTGTGTAAGGGTAGGCGAGTGCCAGTGTAACTCTCAGATCCACCGCATTAGTTACCTCAATGAAGAATTGCCGATTGCAGTTAACATAAGTAGTAACTGTTTACAGAAGCCTGTTACTCTTCAATTCCCACTTATGCTACCAACACTTCCGGTTAGTTCCGAAGATACAGTGTGGTTGCGGGGGTGCTAAATATACTCTATGGGTATTAAAGCAAGTTTGTGGCCGTGATAACTGTGCACTGAACAACGAGTAAGCAAGCATAATGGAGTATACGGCAAAAGGTTCGTTAACAAGGCCATATCAATTTTCAGACTCGCACTCGAAAACTGAAATCTCAGCATACTCTTTCCTAACCATCGTACCATTAATTAGTATCCAGACAAGGTGGCTGAGTTTTCAACATCAGGATTCTTATCTAATAATATGGATATACAACCACATTCCCTACTGTATCCTAGCTATCCTTACAGATTATATGCCAACAACACGACTAATTTATTGGAAAAACCCAATGATAAGAACAGAATAGTCGAGTCTCTAGGGTCCTGCAGGTGCGACGTTAAATATTGTGAATCGCTAACGCAGTGGAGCTTCAATCATGCAAAATGCATGGTCTCTATTCTTTCCCGAATACATACCATAAAATTTGAAGTATTCCGATGAGTTCAGTTTGCTGTGGTGGTGCAGACGAAGGCGGTAGCCTCGATTTAATCGAATTCATGGTGATTAAGAAATACCTAAGGTATGGTGCGAACACTTGAGATAACTTAGACAGCCTCCGAACTACCATCAACGATAACGACCAATGCATATGTGACTAGTATAGTAAACATTTGTGAAGCAGGATGGAATAAGGACATAATGGTCTGTAACGGGTAGGAGATTTTCGCTTAACACATTTCGTTAAATGACCGAGGTTAACACGCTCAATAAAGTGTTTCATTGACACGCTTGGGTGCGCATCGTATGATAAGTTTTACAAGTCCACCTGGTTCGAGCTTCGTATTACATCGTTTTTCTACTTTCTATATCCTCCTGGAGTAAAGTCAATTAAAGAAATGTAGGTGGCGCAACACGTCGTCGAGTTGACTTTATATATTACAGCGGGGTAGAAACTGCCTGCATCGGAATGGCATCACAAAGCAGGTAGACTCGAAGGGAGAATATATCCCGACGTTATTGCAGTCGGTTAGACTACGTTGCAAAGTTTATATGTTTGCCTACTGCAGTTGTGTCACAAGTACCTTCTAGTATGATGCAGCAAATGTGTCTGGTGTTCTTCAGGATTTGGCAAGCCCTTACTAGGGCCTCCACAGCGTTGACACTGATTGGTATACATTTCGAAAGACTTTAGTCTAAAACCTTGTGTAACACAAACTGACATAAATTAACGGTATCTCTCTTAAACTGAGTTGTCAGCACTTGCACAAATTGGTTGGGTGACGCTCGCCGACTTGTGTTCAGCAATTGCACGGATGTTGGCGAACTACAGTAGGCATGAAACGTCATGAATAAAAGCTGGATTATAAGCTCCAATTTTCGTCTTATTCATGAATTGTGTAGATTTGATGTAACAGAATAAGAGTCCATCTGAAATCTAAACTTAGCGCAAACGTTCTTTGCATGAAAGGCCTCGGAGGCTCAGTCTAGCTTAGTGTATCAACTCAGATCCGTAAAACGAGTTACGATAGATTAAGTTTCCTTCATATGCGTTGCCACGGTAAGAGTAGTAGAGCGTAATAAAAAATAACAATAATAATATAAAAAGGGTTCGTCAGACGGTATAGTTGAGGCTGTGGCCTCCTGGAATATTTGAAAGAGCACTGCTGACGTCTTGAACGCGCTATGCCCGATAAGGCGCCAATGGTCTCATTCAGACGAAAGGAATGTACAAACGCTACTCTCCTTTTAGTGAATTCCTGCGTACTCGATTGATATACCGTTAAATGGCCACGTCAGGACTTGTCTTAACTAAATGCAACACTAGCAAAGGGTACATACCAACGCTGTCAGATTCCGCACATGCGTAGCACAGCAACGAGATATGATAGATGGTTCAATTTCACTGGGAGTGATCTGACGATCTACTGACCCTGCTGCCGAACTTCGGATGTCTCACTTCCTAGAGGAGAGTGTTGAAATGGGATTTGCAGAATATTAGAGTCAATTTTGTGAGGCATATATTCCCAATATTGAGACATTTAAAGCGATCGCTTCAAACGGTGAATAACTCCATATTAAGCAGATATTGATATAAAAGATCCCTCCTTCACGATTTGGTTGTGATGAAAAGTTGAGCGTGTACTGGTTCAAAAAATATGGTGTAAGAGTAGCCAATTTACTACTTATGACAACATTGCGTGAATTTTTACGGTCTTCCCCCCCCCCCCCATAGGCGCCGCTTCCACGACTACCTGTACCGCTATTGAAGAACACGCTTGATCGATATCTCCGACTTGTGGCTCCTGTTGTCTCCGCAGATGTGTACCAAAGGACCAGAAGAATAGTAGAAGATTTTGGACGTCCAGGCGGTGAAGGCGAAAAGCTGCAAGAGCTGTTGGAGAAGTATGCCGAAACCAAAGTGAACTGGGTATGTAGTTTGGTGTAGGCATTTTATGTGCTGATTTTTCATGTTTATTTAAGTTTACCTTCCGTTTGGGCTGGTTGTCTAGTTTCAGACAGTGCACCCAAGCGCACTGCCTTAAGCTGTATTTCGTTGTGTCAAACATAACATTAATGTCAACGGAACCATAGAAAAACTGTGTTCTCAAGGAGATCAGAAAAGGACCCAGGTTCCCCGGTTGAAGAATGGCCAGTCTTTTTCGGCTGACAGGCAGAATGATGTAAGTAGGTCGTTTAATGATTCCTGTAAAATCCAGTCTCAGATCCCAGCCCGGAGTACTGAATACTGCATGTTTGGAGATGGAAGCAATATAACATACACAGCTCTATCACCTTGCTATCGAAAAAGCTAAAGCGACGTTCTTTACCATGGTCCTGCTGATTTCGCATATTTAAACTAGAAATTTTAACTTCTTTCACCGTATTATTAAACGGATCGCAAACGTAATTCATAACTATCAGGGAACGTGTGATAAATAAAGCATTCTCAAAAATTTGTTACAACTTATTTTGCATTGCTACAACCATTCTGCCATTACCATGATTTTGCAACGGAATTTGCACAGCATTCGCTACTCGTCACTTGTGAGAGTGAGCGATTTTCCCTAGATGGATTGCTGCAAGTTGCATCGAGCCCCTTGCGATTCGAGCAGCAAGCTTCAAAGCTTTGGAATAACCTTCCATAACTCATCATCATCATCATCATCATCATCATCATCAGCAGCAGCAGCAGCAGCAGCAGCAGCAGCAACTGCAGTGTAGCAACCTGTTGGACTACCGTTTCACTACTTTGCAGCTACAATGGCCTTAGGAATGCAAAAATATAGGTGAGAGTGTAAATGGACCAAGCGTAAAACCTGAATACACTAAGCAAGAGTTCATAGTCAAGGCGACTGTATCTAGCCAAATATATACCGTCACAACAACTGGCTTTCATACAAAGCCAACGCAGCATCTGCGAGACAGCTTCTTAGGGACTCTTACTGCCCCTCATCGTAATCAGGTATTACCGCGAAGCTAACACAGTCCCAGATATTATTTAACAAGCCATACGGTAAGAGGCCAGCTACGCAAACACTGAAGTCAACCACGATACACGTCTTGTAAAGTAGGATGGTTAGTGTGCAAACTTCAAGATAGAAAACAGTGTCGGCAAAAATACGCCGGTATACATGACACACCAAGAGCTTGCCATTAACACATATGCAGGTATTCCTGCCTCGAGTTTAGGAGGATTATGACCCCATCCACTGTTCGTTCTACATTAATACTATCATGGTCATGGACTAGATCACGTAGTGTGAATGTGTCAGGGTATCGTCAAGGCGCTTTTTGTTTAGTGCTAAGATGGAGGCATTAATTACGTGCGTGGGGAGTGAGTAAAAGGGCTGTGACACTCGGGAGGAGGACAGAAAAGGTTTTGTCGACATTCCAGTCGGCTGCGTTGTGTGGCCAACTTAAACTGACGACAATTCAAAGATGTGTATTGGCTGAATTTTAAAAGGTAATGGCATGTGTGGTTGGTGGGTTTTAGGATCTGACATACCCTTATTAAATATCATCCTCCTCTAGACCCAGATAAAGACCGCTTCACATTTTTAGTTTTCAACCTGTGTGGGTAGGGAAAGTAGACAGAAGTCAAAATTCTTTGTCTTCCTGCATTGTACAGTATCCAACGCGGTGAGGTGACTCTTCGGCCAGGGTTGCCAAATTTGGATAGCGTATTCCTCGTGAGGCCAGACGTACGCTTCCCGCAATTCCGGAAAGCATGAGGTCTAGAAATTCCCAAACAATCTATAATGGAGGCTGAAATGTTACGCTGTTTTCTATACTGCATTTTTACTGTGCCTCAAACAGCCAGACATATTCCACGAACGCGCCTATATCGCATTCATGAGAAGGTAGCTGTAAAGTTTTTGACCCTAGGCGGCACTTGTGACTTCCCTGACGGAGTACGCCCAGAACTCTTACTTGACGGTGTAGAACTGCTGCATGTTCTCGATTGACTTTACGTACGCGTTATCCAGGTCAACTTGTAGGTCTGTGTGGTCATTCATTATAGTGATAGCACTCCATAAGGTTAGGTCATGAATGAAGCGTTGGAAATTTTAAGAAAGCACCCTTGCGAGATCACTCTGGAGACCAGAAACTGGCGGGGCCCGAGTACAGAGAACTATGGTACTCCTTACTGAAGTTTGAGCGGTTCGGACAGGGTGCTACTAACCCTCACATTTAAGTGACGTTGAACTAGCAAGTCGCCATTCAGCCCGGAACGGCATCGCCGATTCCATACGTCTGAAGTCTGTGTAGTAGGATGTGGTAATCCAGGCAGTATTATGCCTTCGAGAAATCCAGATGGGCGACACTTATACCAACGCGAACATCCACAGATCCCATCCACGTCACACGATCAGACAAGAGATTCATGGTACAGGACCGATTTTGGCGAAACTCGTGCTGCTCTGGAGCGAGAATGCTGTTAGTCTCCAGATTCTTACTGAGTGTCTCAGTACAATAGACCTCGTGCTATTGGAGATAACCGGTAGTAGCTTCCGGGCAATAAGTTGCTGGTTCTACGCGATTACCACTTTCTAGATTGGAGTGATGATCCTGTACTTCCACATCTTGAGGACATACATCTAGTTATGATATGGTTGAAAGAGTGTCACCAGCGGTTCATTTAAACTCAAGGCAGCCAATTTCAAAGCCTTGGGGCGAATGCCTTCTACATCCGGGGATCTGTACTCGCCCAAGTACATCAGCCGGTTCAGTACAGCTGCCGTTGTCAAGAATATGTGGTTAAGATCTGCTGGATGCATGCTCTACGTAATCAAGATGTAAGCTGATAGCACAATTTGCTAGGTACGGCGAAATTGATGTGACTTGTGCGCCAACGGCTTGCAGTGTTTGGAGTAGGAATGGCGCGCCTAACCTTACGAACTTTGTTTATTTTTCTGTGTAGTAACTTGCGTTAGAAGTAAAATGTTGTCGCCTGGCCTTGATGGTACTTTACTCTACCCCTGTCAGACGAGTTTGACGCAGTGGTTCTTATGGTGTGTAGACATCACAGGTGTCCTCGCTAGGAGAAGCTACGTGAGCGAACCATGCCGAGTTACTCAATGATTTGCAATTCCGATTTCTGCTCCTTAGAAAGGACTTCAATTTTTCGAGTGGTAGATTTTGGTATCTGATGTGTTTGACACGATCCTCTTGAACCTGCTAAACACTTCCCCGCAGGTCACCTCAGAGGGTCCTTCGACTAGGCAAGACCAGTGTGTAAAGCCAGTTATGTCGAACACGTCATGATAGTTGATTACGACGTAAACGTCTTAGGTACGTAAACATTGAATTTGTAATAACCACCATGTGGCTGGACTGTGACACGCAAGCTGTATTGAGGCATCAGCTCCCTTAGAAGTAGACGTCGGTCATTGCGATCACAAGAACCGTATCCGAGCTGGAGGTGTTTCGGTGTTGCTCTTCCCAACACTGAAGACCTATGACAGGTTTAGTCCTCATTTGGATTTATCAGATGAAGAGAGCCTGAGCTATAGTAATACTCGGGACCTGGTGGTTAATGGCTGACAATTTGATCACTGTGCAAGTACGATCCGGGCGCAAAGCTTTACACAGCGGTAAAGAATTCAAAGTTGAAATCGGAATACCCCTATATCATTGGATTGCATCATGCAACACCAGAACGCCTCCTCGGTACTTTCGTTAAGCTACTCTCTAGCACATGTAGTGGAACACTAGTGCCGCATGATCAACCATGCGTGCCAAATGGATAAAAAGGCACTAAGATAACCGATTTGTTTCTTGTTCTGAAGCGCGTCGGAGAAGTAACGTGGTTATACAGTGGTGAAGCTGTAGTTAGCTCTTGCAGTTCCGCCTTGAAGTTCTCACCGAAAGTGTTCGGAATTCCTAGGGGGTACAGGTAGAAGCCCCCTATCAGAACATGACTGTAAGATCGTGTCCGTTGGTTTGTCGTAGCCGAAGACTAGAGAATGATCCACTTCACAGGTGGATATTGGTGGGCAGTATATAACCACCAATAGGCATATGTCACCCTCTCTTCAGTGTAGGCAGCTTTATAAGGAGTCTAGAGCTTGAACTTCCGGGTCAATTATGCGGTAGCTGAGTGGACCAGAACAGTAATAAAGATGTCAACGCCTCACTTTGTGGTCGGTGGTTAGGCAAGAGTGAAATACCAAGTAGCTCGACTTCTGCGTCGGAAATGACGTCAATCAGCCATGTCTAGATTGCCATAGTGAGTTACTAACGCACGACGAGATAGAAGGTCTGCAACTTTGCTGGGAAGGTCTTTTGCATTTGTATACACACAGTTGAGAACTACGGACGCCGGAATGGCAGATGAGCACACAAACTTTTCCAATGAATTTACGCCGACCGTTGTGGGTCCGGCTGATAATGGTTCTTTGGACACATTTCTGACTTACTGCCTGAGGTCCCTTCGAGCCATGGCATAGATCGCTTACTACCTAATCCTTTTGAGGTAACCTGCGGCAGATTGCCTGTTTCTTGTTCTTTGGACGGCTGGGAAGTTGAACTTCGCTCCGATTCGGAAATACACAGCAGGGTTAGCGGCGAAATCTCGCTGACTTTGTCTTCCTGCAGCCAGTGGTGGACTGGTTTCGAGCGACATCGATGTATCTAAACTCGCGAGTTGGTGCGTAACTTGTGCCAACTTCTCAGCACCCTTCAAACATTTGTTTAAAGTGTATCAAGACATTCAGCTACGTTGGACAACATCATGTATAATATAGGGATATGGATAAATTGGACATTTAGTTGTCAAGCACATGGTGAAGAAAGAGGGCTTCGCAGATGTAGCACCACTCTTTCAAGTCATGAGCTTGGGCATGCAACTCGTCGGAAACCAGAATTTCCGTGACATTATGGCAACAAATCGGGCTTTCGTCGTTCCGCTTGTGCTGTTCCACCGAG